ACAGACGACAGACGAAGCGCTTTATATTAGGTAGGATATTTCAGTTTCAATCCCTGACTGTGAAAGGAATTCTTACATAAAGGAACAGATTTGCAGTGCCGTACACTGCAGACGGAAACGGACCAGCCAGCCAGTCTCTCCTCTCGGCAACCTGCCGAGAGGAGAGACTGGCTACACAGGGGCAGCCTTACCGTGCAACCCAACAGAGCGCATCGCGGCGGCATCGAGCGCTGATAAGTATGAGCGCTCAGTGCGTTCGACTTCACCTATCATCTATTTCCCTGCACTTGCTATGATCGAATACCGCACTTATGTGATGCAGTAAACAAGCTGAAATGCTGAAAGTAGTCATAATTCTCTTCTATTCACTTCCCCTCTTGCACGCGAGAAGACAATCAATAAAATTCGGGACGTTCCAGCTGTTACAACGACCTAAGGTGAAGTAAAATGTAACGTGCACCATTTTTGCTTCTAGGGCATACCTAAGTCCAGGATATAGCCTAATTTCAATACATGAAATTTAATCTCATCGTATATACGGCACACGAAAAATCTCTTTCTTATCTTCACCCCATTGTGTTGAGCTGCAAATAGGCATTTGAGCTATACATAGCCTAGTTCTTTTCTTCAATCCGTCTGCGTGCCCGTCCTGAATAGTCGTTTCTGTCTTGGAGGAAGCGGGGGACGTGCACTACGCGCGTCCGAGAACGCGCGCGGCAAACTGCGCGGCAAAGCCCGTGACGATTTGTACGACTCTGACACCAATTTTCGGTGCTTAAACTCGAAGTAGAGTAGTTTAGTAGATGATCATTCACCTACTCTCCTTCAAATTTGGCCCCAATGATAGGCGCTAACGTCTTCAAATCGTTACAAACTCATGCGTATGTGGACTTACGCGCGTCCTCGGACGCACGTAAGTCCACATACGCATAAGTGCTTTCATAGTCCGCGATTGGCTGCTTCCATAGTCCGCGATTGGCTGCTTTCATAATCCGCCGGCGCGCCAGCTGACGTAAAACTAATTAGTTCGTATGTAAGAAATCCACGTCTGTTGCGTTTTATTTCACGGCTCTGACTGTGAAATAAAGTGCAACAGACACAAATTTCATACATACGAACTAATTCGTTTTACGTCAGCCGGCGCGGGTGTGTGCCGATTCGTGCGATTCTGGGTGCGCGCGGCAAATTGCGCGGCGAAATTCGGTGCGTTTCGAACGACTCTGACGCCCATTACTGGGGGCACAAGCTTGAAGTAGAATTGTCGGGTATGGTCAGCTGATCCTACTAATCTACTCTACTTCAAGTTTGTGCTTCAATAGTAGGCGTCAGAGTCGTTCGAATCATCACGAATTCCTTCGCACAGTTTGCCGCGCGCACCGAGAATCGCACGAATCGTGCGTCCCCCCAGCCGGCGCGGGCGGACTATGAAAGCAGCCGTTTGGCCCGCGAGCGCGCGACCGCGGGCAGCGCTTGCCCCTTGTTTAAAACTGAATCTTGGTTGATACCGCCGTACCAGTCCCCTCACCACCTCGCATGTTCGCGCGCTCGCGGGCAATGAAAGCAGCCATACCCGTGGGAGCGAACGCGATAGGCGACAATCGGGTAACTCTCTGTGCATTGCGGCCATCCAATCACGCACAACTGCGCAATTTGCTGTTCAAATCACACGAATGTACACACAACCGCGCATCCACAAGTGTGAAGTCGTTGCCGGTTGCGAGCTTTTCTTCGCTCCAGTAAACACTGTCATAATATCAGTCGAATCCACCGCGGTTTACGTTGAATACGGTCGCTGTCAATATGGCACTCGGATGTGATACTTTGCCTCTTGTCAGGATTGTCGAAATATTATGTTTTTAATAATCATGGCTATACTCTAAACGTGCAGCGCTTCTACTAAAAATTTTCTCCTTCTGGTTTCCAGTGCAATCGCGGTCACTTAGTCAAACCAGTTATTTCATCTCCACTGAAATTGCTTTTTTGAATTTGTTCCATCAATAAAAGTGAAGGGTCCCGTCTTGAATACCGTAGGTTGCCGCACGCGCAACGTCGCCGGGGCGGTCGCGTCGACATACTCCGTTTGTGTCCACGTTCATCAACTGCCTACGCCATGTCTCTCATTAATGTCTATCAATTCTAGTCCACCTTGCGTATGCAATCTGTACCCTAATGCCCTCTAACGTCAATCCATACTAGACGACCGCTGTGGAAACCAGGCGTACGCGCACGCAATTCGACATCATCACTAATCGATATGCGGCTCTGATGGGCACTCACCTCTACAATTTCCAGTTACTCTTCTTCTCTTCAATTTTTTTGCCGACACATTACTCTACTAATAAGATAGCCAAACTTTTGCTTGTGATGCATAGAAAACGCTTCTGAGGATTCGGTTGGTGATTATTTTCTGTACATCATGAGTTAAAAAGCATGATCCTTGCCTCCTTTAACGATGTCCTACGTTAAACAAAGCGAAGCTCTGGTCCGTGTCAAATGCCAGTTATTTATCTACCAACTATGCATGAGGACAGGTTTTCGAGGAATGTTCATTACTCGTCGAGCCAACTTTTGTTCCATACCACCCATATGCCGTTTTTGGTTAGTTGTTCAGTATATCACCATTTTTATTACATTTTGCGTGTTATGCACTATGTTGATTTCTCGACTTTCATTCTCTCATTTTAGTGGCCATGCCATCGCCACACGAGATCAGTTCTTTTGTGTTGAATGTCTTCGTATGGTAATCGACTTTGCGGATGTTATCTTGAGCGATGCCCTCACTCGGAATGGAGCACAGCGGCTTTGCAGCAAATGTCGCGTATGTTTTCTATAACTTGTATAACTTGTATCTAAAGAACGGGAAGGAAAAAAGGAAGATGGAAGCGGGTGATCACTTAGCATAGATCTCTATTCTCCTAGACCTTAGTATTTGTCTGGTCGAAGTGTTTTCACTTTTAGGCCGTTCTGAAAACATCTCTCGTCCCAAAACTCATTAGAGGCTGCATTCAAACATTGCTTAGAGACTTCGAATTAATGGAAAACGGTAAGTCAGCAAAGTCTTTCGGTAAGTCTTTGGTTATTTGAGATGCTTTTGAAGGGTGGCCATTTCTGCAAGCTTCAAGAATTACAAAATGCAGTAAGACTAAGGTAAATAATAAGTTGTATAATCACATCGCATAGTGTCTGTGACCCTTCATTTGCCTAACAATGTCAAATTTACATCTTTAAGTTCTTGGCACGACCGCTCGTCAATAGGCACTAATGGTCAACCATCAGTACTCTTCATCATACTATTTTTGAGTCCTTGTAGAAGCAGAGGGGGTCGCCAGGTCGGGATAGATATCGAAATCGAGGAGTACTTCACCCTCAGAGCCTGCGGTCGCGATGGTGACAGGAATATCCGTAGCGCACAGCTGGCTATAGTAAACTGCCTGCGTGCAATGTGTTCTTTCCGTTGAGAATGGTGCAATCCCGAGTATGGGTACACTGGCTCGACTGGGGTTGCAGGAGGGCGGAACATTCACCCAATCTGAATGGGCGCGGCAAGCTGCGCGGCAGAATTCGTGTTGATTTAAACGACTAGTGCCTATCATTGGGGCACAAATTTGAAGTAGGGTAGATAAGCAGCATCTGCTTATACTTATCTTATCCTATCTGCGTAAAACCTGTGCCCCATTGATTGGCTCCAGTAAATCACCACAAACTTCGCCGTGCGGTTTGCCGCGTGCGTCGATCCAGAATCGAGCAAATGTACCCATACCTAGGGTTGCATGCGGCGAACTGTGTGGCAGGATGTGCGGCGGTTAGGACGATTCCGCCGTTTGTCGGTGGGGCGATGGTTTGAAGAGAGTCAGATTGCGCGGTTCGTGAGTTCAATGTAAAAGGAAGTTTATTGCAGTGACCTGCCTCGTTTCTGCTTCCACTACAAGCCTAGCTCTTCCGCCTAATTATTCCTCTTTCACCATTATAATAGTAAATTATTTATTTAGTTTCACGAGTATGCAGCGTTACGACACTTGTGGGGTTCAGGAGGGAAATTGGGTTATTCTATCAGAACTTTCAGGTTTTGCAATATTTCGCCCTCGCGCCTAGATGTAGCGACGAATTAGGCTCAGCACCTATCCGGTATTATTCCTTAACTATTACGTTCCTGCGAACTGTATACTGTAAGCCTTACCATTAGGCTCAATATGATAAGATTTGGATGCATATTGAGTACTTACTTTTTCTGCTTATTTGTTATGGACGGATGGCCTTGTCAAATGTGCTCAATGGCAGATTGCTTGATTTCTAGCATATATTAGCAAAGTATGCTGGTGATAGGGATTTCGCGTTGTTAGTATGATCAATGTGGGGCGGATGAATACTTCCAGTACAAATGCAAACTTGAATTAGGTACGTTTCTGATGGATATAAATGGTCCATTCCGTTTCGTCCAGTGTGCCTATGCTCGGAGCCATCTGGCGACAAGAGGGCTGCCAGAACGAATAGATTGCTGCAAAAGAAAACCGGCAAAAATTTTGAAAATGGTATGAATTGGACCCGAGATGGGCGTGCGAGGTTGCTCCGACTCTGCACAACAAGCCCACACCTCGGCGTAAGGCAGGGGCGGAATAAGGACCATCAGAGTGCACATCGCTTCCCACAACGTCAGGACATTATCGACGGACTCTCTTTTAGACGTATACCTACAACAGTTCGAGAAGATCAAAGCCGACATCGTGGGTGTTTGCGAACATAGGAGAGCACGCGCAGTTTCAGCGAAGTGGACAAGCGGGGAAGAAATTCTGCTGGGAGGAGGAGCTGACAGTGTCTCCAGAACAGGTGGAGTCGGTTTCATCATAAAAGCAAATATGGATCCGTATGTTATTTCTTGCGATATTCAGTCCCGAAGAGTTGCGGTTCTGAAGATCAAGCTGCAAAAGTTGGGGAACAGAACGCTCAAAATTGTGCAAGTATACGCGCCCACTGCTTCAGCAGAGGACGACGAAATTGAGCGCTCCCACGAGGAAATAGCTCAGATCGACGCACACTATTGTTCAAGGCGATTTCGACGCAGTGGCCGGCTCCTGATTAGACGGTACGGAACACCTGGGAAGGTACGGTGTGGGAGAAAGGAATGACAGAGGAAACCGTCTAAAGAGTTTGCAGAACAACACCAATTCTCGACAGTGAACACCTTCGAGAAGAAAGCCAAGTGTCTTTGGACATGGAGGAGCCCGGACACGAAAACTTTAAGACAGATTGATTATGTGCTTACCGATACACCAAGGTTGTTCGCTGACGTCTCCGTTATTGGAGAAAGTGTGATTGCGACCGGCTCCGATCACCGACTTTTCTCGGTGATCCTCTGTGACGTCAGAAAAGAAAATCGAGTTCTAGTTTCGCAAAAAACACTCATACGACGTACTTTCAACGCCGATATGTATGCAACGATGATTGCGTCGTCAGACCTGCAGATGAGTGTTGGCATGCCGACTACGAAGATCTAGTGGGAAAAATAACGCAGGCCGCGAAGGCATCGAGCCCAGCAACAGAACCAGCAAGGCGATGGCGTATATCGTCAGAAGCAGTGCAAATGATGAAAAGAGCGCGCATGAAAGCCGAAGGACGAGCGCAAACCGCGGATTACAAGGAACTCTGTGAGGCGATAAGGAAAAGGTCAAACCCGACTATGATGGCTACAGGCTAAATAAGCTTCGCGAAGCAGCTGAGAGAAGGGTCAGTTTGAAAGCTGTAGAAAGGGATATCTACATAAGGCATCACACACCGTCTGCTCTCAAGGATAATGCAGGTGCCAGGACGACTAACCGCCTGCGAATGAACCTAATATGTACCAAGTTTTTTAACGACTTGTACTCCTCAGAGGTGGTCGTCGCAAGGGCCGATCAAATCACTGCAGATGAACCGATCCCAGATATCATGTGGAAAGAAGTGGAGCATGCAGTGAAACAGATTAATGCGGGGAAGACCCCAGGTTGTGGCAACATACATCCCGAACACCTGAAAGCAGGTGGATTACCTCTCTTACAGCGCTGGCAGAGCGCTTGAGCAGACACTGCAGCAAGAAGAGGATTCCGGCGGTGTGGAAGAAATCAAGGGCGATACTGCTAATGAAAAAAGGCGATCCCGAAAGTTTGGACAATTATAGACCTATCACTTTGCTGTCTCAAGTCTATAAGACCTTCACCAGGATAATCCTTAATCGCATAGTTGGAGATGTGAACATGGCCATGAGCCGAGAGCAAGTGGGATTTCGAAGCGGGTAGTCCACACTTGACCATTTGCACGTGGTACGTCAGCTTACCAAAAAATGTGGAGAGTATCGGATTCCCTTATGCATCGCATTTGTCGACTAAGGAAAGCATTCGACTCTGTCGAAACAAACGCGATTCTAAATGCGATGAGTAGATACGGTGTCAATTCGTTGTATGTCGACCTTCTCGAAGAGCTGAACAAAGGCTGTACCACTGAAACCAAGCTCCTCAACGGCCCATGTCAAATAAAAATATGCAAGGGCGTTCGACAAGGGTACGATTTCTCCGAAATTGTTTGCATTAATTTTGGAAGTCCTCTTCAATGATCTTGACTGGACCGGAGGTAAGAGACCGACGGAGAACACCTGGCCTATCTGCTCTTTGCGTCATTTCTGCACATGATTGAATTTGTCAAAAACGAANAAGTACACAGCTTTAAGTACCTCGAACACCAGCTCAGTTTCACAGGAGGCAGCAGCGGAGAGTACAGCTGGCGCAGGAAGGCAGCTTGGTCTAGCTCCAACAAAATTTCAACGCTACTACTAGACGAAGACCTTCCGATGAAACTAAAGCGTCCCTTTCCCACACGACTGTGATACCGCGCTGTTGTACGGCGCGGAATGTTGGGCGTCCATGAAGGCAGACGAAGAAAAATTTGCTGTGATGCAAAGATCAATAGAGCGTAGTGTTTGCAAAGTGTCACTTCGTGAACATATTACAAACTCAGAGTCGCGAAGACGATGTGGCCTTGTTGATGTTGTCCAGGAAATGTATAAACGTAAACGAGAATGAGCCGGTCATGTGGCACGTTTGAAAGATAACCGCTGGATCTTCCGGCTAACGAATTGGATCCCATTGGATCACAAGCGAGCGCCGAGAAGGCCTAAATTGAGGTGGGCCGATCTTATGATCAATGTGCTCGGCCAACAGTGGAGAAGACGTGCGCAAGACCGGAACGGATGGCTCAAAGTCGACTTGCGTGCATGGCAAAGTTCGCGAGGACGAGTCGGATACAGGTGATACAGGTGATTCCGTTTCGTAGGACAAGCGAAATACCGATAACAAATGAAGCAATTGGTAAACAGGACGTAGAGCTAGGACCCCGAATCTGAAACGGAATCAAGAAGATGATCTTGGGTTGTCTTCGAATTCCTTCCCAAACCCCGACGACATCACAGACAGAACAATAAGTTTCGTAAAGTCATTGCGATATAATGGTCAAAACTCTACAATGCACTTTACTGATGAATAATTGTATGCCAGTATTGAGTGGATGTGATAATGGACGTAAATTTGCAGGGACCGGAAGAATCCCTTCATCCAAGACTTTGACCTATATTGTACCTTAGTGGCGATCACAGTTGAAAGGCAAACAAGCTTTCCATTCGGAATAGACTGGTTGATTTCATAGTCCGCGCTTTGGCCCGCGAGCGAGCGACCGGGGGACTACTCGTCCGACGGTATCGACCAATTCAGTTGTAAACAAGGGGCAAGCGCCGCCCCGGTCGCTCGCGCGCTCACGGGCCAAATCACGGACTATAGAAGCAGCCACTGCGTTAATGACCGTTTTCAATACAAAATCCCTACGAATTTACGTCCATTGTGATATTCACTTAATATTGGCGCACAATTCATCTACAGTGAAGTACAATGTAGAGCTTTAAACATTATCGCGATAGCTTTATGAAACTTATCGTTTTGTTTGTAACGACGTCGGAGTTCCGGGCGGAAACCAGCTTTATCCATCAGAAAGGTACCTAATTCAAGTCTGAAATTGCCCTAGAGGCAATTATCCACTTCATATAAGTCACACCGACAAGGCGAAAAACTTCTCTCAAGTGAACTATGTTTAGGTCTCCAATAGATTTAATCCATTCAGAAGGATGTATAGATATCGGTTATTTCAAGCCGGTTTCAGTCTGATGAGAGTTTTTAACTGTTGTCATAAGTGGTGGCATCAGGCGTGGTGGTATTAGGAGTTGTTCATAGCTGCTCTTCATATCAGCTGAAAACCTCTGTCTGAAGTCAGTTCCAATAGTAGTTAGAAGATGTCGAGAAGGTGGCTCCTTTTTCAAGCTCCATGATCCATTTCTGCTGAAACTCTCGAAGCAAACGGAAGCGTTGTACCCAGTAAATCCTTTGAAATTTTTTCATCTATATTCTCTGCAATTTCTTTTTTTAAGAAGGCCGTGACATGTCGACCTATCTGGTATTGATGAGTTCTGTTGAGAGTGTTATGGAGCTTGTGGTGGAAAGTGTAAGTTTAATCAGTTCGTCTCCTATACTTCTTGTGAAACAGCGGTGTCCGTGTTTAGAAAGACATTACCGAACAAGTCGAAAAAATGCTTGGAAGTTGTCGAAACTTGGCTATGGTTTTACCAGAATGCGACCGAGAGACCGAGGAAAATGGAGCGAAGGATGGAGCAGAAGGCGTAAAAGAGACTCGAGAAAATGTTTTTGCAAAGGAAGAACAAGGCGAAAAAGAAATTAGAGATAAATTTTCCGCTGAGCATCGAGAAGAAGTTGAAAAAATTGCCACGCAGGGAGATTTCGCTAAAGATGGAGAAGCAGATGAGATTTCAACCAAAGATGGAGAGGACGGGGTAGAAGAGATAGTAGGGATTTTTGCCTTTGAGGATGGCGAAGAAGATGAAGAGGTCGCGAAGGATGGAGAAGGAGATGGAGATGGAGAAGAGACCGGAAAAAGGCTCGCAGGGAATGCTTCCACTTTGAAGTTCGGAGGAGGCAAAAAAGCCACAGCAGGGAATGTTCTTCGCGCTATGGATGGATTATGGATTATCACAGAAAATGTATTCGCTAAGTATGGAGAAGAGGGCGAAGAATTGGCCGTCGATAATGTCCCTAAGGATGGGGAAGGAAGCGGAAAAGGGATGGGTGATTATATTTCCGTTAAGGATGAAAATGAAGCAGAGGGAGCTACCGCAGAGCATATTTTCGAGCAGGATGAAGGAGACGATGAAAATATGATGGGAGATTATGTTTTCGGTAAGTATATACATATTTAGAGAATGTTGGAAAGGTGTTGTCTTTAAGAAAATTGCGAGATGAATCCGAATGCTAAGGAGAACGACGGGATATATAATGAGTGAGGTGCTGTACCTGTAGATT